TTCGCGGGAATTTGAACCCCGGTCGAACTACCAGTGTTCAGCGGTCTTACCGTTTAGTATGGGGGCTTTACAAGAAAAATCAAGCTTTATAATAAAAAAGAGCATGCATAATAATATGTATGTTGTCAATAATGTTGAAATAGATTTTCATTCTTAATTATATTTAAGAAAATTTTGAAACATGATTTTGGATTATTAATACGAGGCCGATGATTTTGCTTTTGAAAAATACTCACCTTTTATTTTTCTGAATTAATCTACATTTACGGAAACAAGTCCAAGGTTGATACCCACTGTGTTTATTGAAACATTTATTTTCTGAGTGAATGGGTAATAAAAGTCACGGAACACCTTATATAAGATGTTATTTAAAGCAAGATGTTATGTTGTTATGTTATATTTAAATAATTTACTCGCTGTGTTATATGCATTTTCAACATACAGGCCTTTTGAGTTGCTCGTTGAATTATTTATCTAACGGAAACATTTCCACTTCATATATAAACAGCAGTCTTGGGAGACTTCCAAACCCGTAAAATCGTTGCTTTTTACCTTGTAAATCTTAGGAAAAAGAACATATCACCAAAGGTACTTTGTCAAATCACGGATCTATTTTTATCAACCATTTATTTCTAAACTCCTCCCTTCGCATTTGGAATAAAACGAGATTGTTGGTAAAAATGGGTCAACAGATGCGACGACTTATTTGCCAAAATCTTAAAGAAAAAAATCCATTAAAACTCACGCAAACCATTGGTATTTCATCAGAGATGTCTTATGCTCGTAAGGTTCATACATTTACACGTCAACACGTGGCAAAAGGTTTGGGCGTGTCTATCGTTTGCGTTTTGACGTCACGGCTGGTATTTGCACAGATTCAGCTAACATCCCATAATTAAGAACCTCAAAATAACGCCTCATGAAGCAAGCTTAAAGGTTAAACTTAAATTATGCAGCTGCAATATGCGTTAAATCCATATAAATTATGCTAGTGAGAAACATTGCGCTAAATTAAAGAGTTTGAATGTTTCATAAACTTGTGATTTCAGTATGAATACATGCTGACAGTGCTTACATCGAATTTAATTTAGTGCAAGAAAAATAGTTTTTCTTCTTGAAGAACTGAAACCAGTTCAATCGCTTTCAAAATAGATTGCTCTTCACTAAATAAGGAAATCTGAAGCTGAATTTTACTTGATTTTAAATCTGACTTAATTCAAAAAACACTGTAGTCTGAAAAATTCAGAATACATTTTGTAAAAGAAGCGCTTAGAGTTAAAAAATATTTTTAATATCAGATCTTTAAAAATACGAATATTGCTTAAATATTTCTCTTTCCCTTTATCGTAAAAATAACAGCCACTGCAGCTAACTCATAAAAACTAAATCTTCACTTTTGAAGAAAATTAAGAGCTCAGCTCGCAAAGAATATCAGCTTAAAAAGTTCTCGTGATTGCTAAGCATTCTGCATGTAACTACAAATGCCGCCGCGGCCTGTAAGACTGTAAGGCTGTAAGGAGAAAATGCCCCGGCCTTTTTTTGTAAGCACAGTCCGCGTGTAAAATCTCCCGTCCTGAGGGAGCACTATATTCCGCGGGCTGCCGTCCAATCTTATTAATATAACAGAATTTATTTTCAGCATGTCAAGCACATCGGCACCAGTCAAAAGAGTATTCTTAATAATGAATATCACACAATCTAAAGAAAGAAATAGAATGGCTGTGTCAACCATAAAAGCTATAGATCACAAAAGAAATAGTATACTAAACTGCAGTGAATTTTTCGATGTCATTAAAAATAGCAAAGAATTTTTAAAGAAAGTCCCTACTAGTAATAAATACTAATAACTTAATAATAAGGCATGTTCAGTTGAGTTATCAAAAATTTGAGTTATTAAAAAACCTTTTGCTGTATTTTGTTAACAATTTTATTCAATATTATTCTGATATTATACTTTTATCAAATCGTTTGTCAAAAATTATCAAAACGTTTCTTGCCTGTATATTTAGATCGAATACCATCAAAATTTAACGTCTTTGCTTTACTGTGATTGGTACGCCTTCGAAGCTTTCGACTGTTGACACAGGAGCAATTCTTTGTATTTTTTATTATTTCCAAATTTTTGGTGTGGTGTAGTGTGTATTTAATTATGGCAAAGCACACTAGGGCTATCTGCCTAAGGGGAGGGATGCCTTCGTGGAGGACTTTCTAAGGGAAACTGGCTCGTATACACGTTACACATGGGGAAAACCACGAAAACGCCCATGCAGCCAACCCGTTCGCGGGATTCGAACCTCGGACCGAACTACCAGTGTTCAGCGACTTTACCGCTCGGCCGCTGGTCCAAATTTTTGGAATATTGACGGGTCAGTTCTGCATGTTTTACCATGGAGAAATTTAATTTCGATTGACTGTCTAATTATTAGGTATCAATTTTAAGAATTTAGTGAACTACTTCTAATAATATGTAATATATAGTAAATAATAATTTGTAAGATATCTTACCTACAATGAACAGTTTTTTTGGACTAACCTTACAATGGTCTATTTGACTAATACAATGAGATGTGAAATGTAGTAAACTAAGTCTCACAATACATCCATTTTAAACAACTAAATTGTATTGTTACGAAATGTACAGGCGCGGTAAGATAGCTTCCCCGCAAAGTAGTTTTAGGGTTGCCATAAAGTAGCAAAAAGGGCAAGGTTGCGACATTTGGCGAGAAATCGCCCATTTGGCGACAAAATTGGCGATGTGCCATGGACGGATGGTGAACCTTCTGGAACGAATTCTTACCGGTTTAGCCCAGAATGTTCTCGAACACATGCCGAAAGCTATATAAAACCCTGTTGGTCCGCCTCATCTAGTTAGTCCGTGCGGAGACGATCGAGTTGACAGCCGGCCAGCGAGTGCCGAGTGGGTCGTCGAGTGCATCGAAGAGTCAGTTAATGTATCGCGGTTACTGCATCGTCGAGAGAGCGTGTTAAGCTCCGGGAACGACTGAACCGAAGAGTCAGCAGCTGTGCTCTGTGCGTCGCGAGTTGTAGCGTGGAGAGTCTCGAGAGTACGTGGAGTTTCGAGGACGACCAAGCAGAGTCAGGAGCTGTATTCTAATACTTTGCAGTGAAGCTGTCTCCACTGTGATAGCTTGATAACCTGAAACTGTGTCGCTGATCGTGTCAGCGTGTTTATAACAGTTCGACGACTGTAAACGAGATTTTGGAGCTGTACTGATTAATACTGGCCAATAAAGTGTGTTTCGATACTTCATAAAGTGTCGTCGTTATCCACACGAACCCCGTACGAACGTGAAGGAAGAAAATAACGTAACAACTGGTGTCAGAGAAAAACGTAACAGTATAATTAGGGCTCCATTGTGAGAATCTGGTGACTCAATAATTCTAGTAATTTAACTTTTCTTTTAAAAGCATTAGGAAACATTTTGTACTTCTTCCAAATTTTTAATTCATCCACTTGTTTCCTTAAAATCTCATTTTTGGAATTCAATTAATCCAAAGTAATCCTTTTTGGAATTCAATTAATCCAAAATAATCATTTTTAGTTGTTAACTATAAGGATCTTGTAAATGTTGCTTTGAAATTTGTAATATCACTGTCAATTTTAATGACTTTAAATAAATTTCGCTTTAGTTCTATTGCGAAAGTAAGGTGTAGTAACAATACTTGCCAAGTAAGTATTACTTGATATACAGGGTGATTCGCTACCAGACCGACAAACTTGCAGGGTGTGTATGGGTTACAGAGACGACTCGGAATTATATAGGCATGCAGGGTCGCAAATGCCGTAGTTGCGAGCTGTGGTGCAAAGAAGCAGAGAAAAAAAACCAGAAACAGCAACACATTAATGGGACAGAAAACATTTTATTGAAAGGTTACGTGAACAGTCACCTTGCTGGAAGTCCGTAGAAGAAAAACTGCACTGCTTTTCACCACTGAGCTCCGCTTGCTTCTTGCTAGAAGTCGTCATTTCCCGAGGTAGGTAGGTAGGTTACGGAGGACGGGAACGCCTGGTATCTAACAGAGGTGAACAGGCAATTTCTGAGGTAGTAGGATGAACACGTATTCAAACGATGATCTGGTCGACATGCTGATCGTGTATGGAGCTGTGGATTGTAATGGGCAAACGCCGCTCGGCGGTTGTAACAGGAACGTTACCCGAACAGGCGTGCTCACATGACCTCCGCAAGTGTGAACAGAAGGTTACGTGAGACTGGCTGTTTAACGATAGCTACAATGAATCGACAGCGAACGACTAGGACACTTGGCAATAAGGAGGCGGTCTTACGTCTGGTAGAAGACAATCTAAGTAAGAGTATTCGAGCGATTGCCCAACAAGTGGGTTTATCTCAATCCATTGCCTGAAGGATACTCGCAGCAAATAAATTGAGCGCATACCATCTTCATCGCGTCCAATTATTAGAGCCTGAGGATTATCCACTCCGGAGGACGTTTGCTACATGGTTTCTGCAACAGAGTGTTACAGACTTCCTTCAGTTGAAGACCTCGTCGCTCGAATATCTGTAACTGCCGGAAGGATACGTGATACGCCAGAAAGCTTCCAGAACGTAAGGAATTCCATGTAGCGCCGCTTTCAAGTTTTTTAATTTTTCTACGGAAATTCATACTTCGTATTTTTTAAGTCAAGAATCAAAGCTCTGTTAGGTTTATCAATATGAAGTATCATCATACAATTTTCCTTCATTAATGTTATTAAGAAATTCATATAGAGTATTTTTTAAACTATTCATTTTCTTAAGGTGATAAACAAAGTACTTTATAGTTTCGAAGATAAAAAAAAAATATGCATTGTCATGTGGCAACAACGTCTTCTCGTTGTACTGATCTTTAATTGTAACTGTCAGGGCTTTAATGCTAACTGATAAAAGTAATTCCGCTTTGGAAGGGTTAAATATTTGATGCTTGTTGATTTCTTATTAAAAGTTAAGTAATGCAAAGCACAAAAAATACAGACACTAGAATAATAATATACATAGAAATTTATTTTTCCACTTTTAAATATAATCTGAAATATATATAGATAGATATTTCTTTACATACTAATGCATTCTCTCAAAGTATATATTACATCTATTACATCAAAACGCACGCATACAGCGTTCTTGTCGAAGATGAAAGACTCTACGCATGCGTAATTATGTTCTTCAATGGGAATGTTGGCAAACCATTTTCATATGATAACTACAAGCAATCGTAACACAATGATGAAAATCATGAAATATTCTCTCAATGATAAGTAAAGCAGTAATAAATTATCAAATAAACTTAAAATGTAATTGCGGGGAGTTTTGATGCACAAATGTAACTTAAAAAACAAACTACTCTATACTGTCTTTGAAACTTCCTAAAAGGAACTATATAAAATGGAATACTAGCACAAATGCATTAGTACATCTTTTTCTGCCGCATTTAATTTGAAATGTAGATTATATTATTCATAAACGCTGCCACGAAACAAATGAAATCAGATATTTTAGAAAAGTTTGTTTTATAAAACAAAATTTATATAAAAATAGAAAATTCAATAAAATAGCTGCAAGATTTAAATCTTAAAACCGGTTATGCGATAGTAAAAGGCATTAAAAAGTTAAAATGAATTATTCAAAATTTAGATGCATAGCAAATCACCAAAGAAAATTCATTGGGATGCAAAGAAAGCATTTGGACGAAATTTACGTTTAAAACATGAATATAAATTTGTCCAAAAATATGTATGACTTATACATTCTATTATCACAAAAATTTACTGTGAAAATAAAAAATTAAAATTTTGTGGAAAAATTTACGTAAGAAGTGAAACAGCCATAGAAAAACTGTCATCAGCATTATCTGAATTAGTATTCTTGAAATTGTCAAGAGCTGTTTTCAGAATTATGAAATTCAAAATTAAATCTGATACCTAAAGCAATTCAGCAAATTCATTTAGCAACTAAAATCCGCCCAAGTTGAAGAAGATGGATTGAAAAGAAAGAATTACAGAAATATTCATACAAATGGGAGCTTTGATTATAAGTTACAGAATTTTATATAAACCACTTGTTGGTAAAAATTTTGATTGTATTTTGCATTTTATAACGCAGATTTATTGTACAAAATGTGATAGTATAATTTCTACCAATACGAATTCACAAAATCTAACCACATCTATTAACTACACATTAAACAACTTCTTAAGAAGAATTTAAGTTTGATTAATTATTCTAAATTTTAAAATTCTTCAATATGGAAGGATATGTCTTTTCAAGTATATTATTGAATCGAAGAGTGAATCATATAACAAGTGTTGTTTTACGAAGAAATTATTAAAATGCTGTTGACATTCTCTGAGCTACCGTTTTATAAGCTGAAATTAAATAAAATCTAAATAGCTTTAAGTTTTTCAGTTTCCACCCGAACAATACAATAACACTTATTTCATCGGCCAATGTGTTTCATTGGTTGTAAGAAAATCAAGAAATACTACCCAGATATAACGATTCTCTAGTGCTGGGTAGGTTGGGAAATATTTGGTATATAGTGAAGCTGAAATGCAATCACAATGTCTAGTGTACGTACATCAAAGTACTGAAATGTATCCAAGAGCTGAGATTCGGTGGACTAGTCATCTACAAGAAGGATCTTGAGGATTTGCAGATAGCAATACGAATAACATGCGAGAACTACAGTTGTCTCAAATCACTTCAAAAGCTGCGTAACGAAGATCTAGATCTTGTCGATAGGTATGGTGCGCTCTCGGAAAGATGCGATGGCTGGCAAGGGAGCCTCAATAGTCAAAACTCCATCCTTGGATAAAGAAGACTTGATGAGCTCTGGATTCGTTCCAGCCGGTAGAAGGAACTCTCGATTGTATTCACGATATATGGTCTTATTGGGAGTCTTTTCCTCATGTTTAGCTGTCACCTGCAATATTGAAAATTTGCAATTAACGCTACATTTGAAACAGGAATAATATCATAATACAAATGATTTCAAAAAATAATTAAAAATCTTATGTTAATCAGTGATCGTTACGAATGCCGAGATGCTTCCATCATATGTAAATTATATGACAGAAGAATAAAAATGAAGTTCTGTATCCTTAGGGGAAAGCGATTTCTACATAACTACATACAAGCATACAGACTTTTATATACGCCTCCTAATACCGCACTCTTCTTCCAAAATGACAGTTTGTGATAATCCTGCATCGAGTCAATTAATCAGTACAGTTTTGCTATGCATATTAGCTGGCTCCTATGATCTGGTAATTCCTACCTTACATCAAAATTTCCATATTATATCAGATATCACTTTATATTGAAAAAGAAAAAATAATCGACACAATGACGCCTGACATGTTTTATAATAATTTACGCTGAATCAAAAATAACATAGAACTTCTTGAAAGAAACAGAAAGGCAATAAAAGGTAACCTATATATTTCTCTCATACACACATTACAACATCATTGTATTTTGCTACGATAGCACCATGATTTGAATATACCATACAGCACATGGTCACATTGCTGTTGAATACATTATAACCATCCATACGGAAAAGGTGTCATTGGATGATAAATCATGCATCGCTTGAGGAATTTGTTGTATATATTCCTGAATTCAATCAGTTAATCCAACATGGGGAAAGTATATATTTTCATCTACTTCGTATATTTTGTCTTTGAAGTAGCTCAAAGGAAACAGTTAGGTACGGTTCAATCAGTCGACTAGATAGCCAATTATGTCTCCGCAAAACAATATCAAAGACCCTGAAAATAGTCTCCACGGATAGACATGGAAATCCTAATCATCTGTGCGACTGCTTTCTCTTGCTGAAACCATCACTCACGGTCAAATGGGTTTAAAGTCAATCCTGAAGAAATACTTTGAGTATGACAAGTTCCAGTAACTGTTTTTAAAGAAACAGGCTAAATGATGTCAAATTCCCCTGTACAAAATCCACATCACACTTTGGAAATGTACAGAAATTTCTGTACATTTTCTGTAGCTCAGTATCAATAATTCTGATTTCGACATTAATAATTCTAGAATGGCTTGGTTTGTTTCGGTTTATTTGATTACGGCGAAACACGCAAGGAAGGCTATCTGGGGGCTATGTGCCTCAGGAGAAAGATACCTTCGTGGAGGACTTTCTAAGGGAAACTTGCTCGTATCTGCATTACACATAGATAAAACTATGAAAACGCCCATGCAGCCAGCCCGCTCTACTGGAATTGAACCCAATTCGAGCTGCCAGTCTTCAGCGACTTCGCGCTCGGCCACTGGTGAGCCTTCTACAGTTTGAATACAGCCATGTAGGACTAACTATATGCTATATCTGTTTACTATCTATTCTTTTAAGTCTTTAAAAGATTTTTGTTGTAATTGTCTATCTCATAAATTTCTCTTTTTAATACACAAGTTCTTGATTCTCGCATAATTTCGCTAATATTATATCAATATTAATACTTTTACTGAGCGCATTATTTCTGGAATTGTTTCAAATGAAATGAATGATTCCAAAATCTGGTGTTCATCGAGAACATCGTGGACAAAAACGTCGGGCAGAAAACAATGCAAGATGAAAACATCGTAGTACCAAACATCGTGGGTGAAAAAGAAGGCAGAAGAAAACATCGCAAATATAAGACATAGCGGTATAAAACATCGCAATCAAAAATAAGGCAGTTCAAAAGCATCGCAGTTTTAAAACAACGGCGTAAAAATATCATGGTAAAAAATACAGCACCCACAAATCATTACATGACGATAACATCGTTCATATGTGTTATTTAGGCTTTAAAAGCTATAAATGTGTACCGCGTCATGATTCGTGGCGCAAGAAAGAATGAGGAATATTTTTACCTGTATATTTTATATTTTGGATTAATTGTTTTTTGCTAAAAAGAAAGAAAGAAACGTAAGCATTTAAAAACTGAAAATGAGTAGAAAAATTAATCCTTCAAATAGCCGTTAATAGAATTTTAAATTTCTGTACTTAAATATTAAAAGTCATTATTTAGTTAATCTCTTTTTGAAGTTGTATTGGCAGTTTTTCATGAAAAATATAATCTTAAATATTAGAAAAGGGAAGATGAGTAACTGCAAGAGGTTTACAACTTTTAAAGTTTGAAAAACAAAAAAGGGCCTGTCTGCAATGTTATCGCCATGCAATGATTTGTAGGTACTTTATTTTTTACCACGATATTTTTACGACGATGTTTTAAAACTGCAATGTTTTTGTACCACTTTATTTTCGACAACGATGTTTTAGAGCTGCGATGTTTTCTCCTTGATTTCTTTTTTTTTCGACGATATTTTTCACCTTGTTTTGTTTTCTCCACGAAGTTTTTTGACCGCAATGCTTTCCCCTGCAACTTGAAGTCTTACCGTATCAGCCATACCTTTTATGTATAATTCGAGAATTTTTAGCACATATTTTGCTACGTAAGTTTAGTGTCGACTTAAGTACAAGTCAAAAATAAGTCGATATTTACAATTAAGAAGATAGCATGAATAATATTATATGGAATTAACAAACATTTTTTTTTTAAATTTTATTTTATCTTACTATACATTGATCAAATTTCTCAACAGCCGTATTCGATTCGTTTTGAGCAAATACTGAATAGCAGGCAAGCCCACTGTATGTCATCCTCCGTCATTTCTTCATTAATATTATTGTCGTTTCCCTCGTAGATAACATCATCTTCAATTCTGTCAGTAGAACTGATACAACATTTTTTGAACGATCAAACAGTTGTTTCCATTCTTGGACAGGCTTTCCATTGACAGAGATGTGAAGAGAGCCATAATGTTTTAGAATAAGTTTTAGAATATAAGTTTTAGAATGTTCAGTGAAAGCAGTAATGTTTAGCTTAAGGCTAGTAGAGTTTAGCGTATACGTAGTAAACGTACGTAGTAATACATAGTAAAGTTTAGCTTTATACGTAGTAAAGCTTAGCTTAAGTTTAGTAGAATAGCGTACTAATGTTTAGCTTAAGACTGGTAGAATATATAATAATGTTTAGCTTAAGACTAATAGAATAGCGTAGTAATGTTTAGCTTAAGGATATTAGAATACGCAGTCTATGTTTTGAACTGGTAAATATATAACAGAAATGAAAAATCGTATTCTTCAGCATATAGCAGAAATGAAGAATCGCAAGTGAACAGAAAAACTCCGTCCTGAGAATGACATCACAACAGATAACCAGAAGAATATTTTTCACGCTGTTGCGAAAGTGCTTGCCGATGCGCATGCCCAAAAGCCAGAATCTATAGTTCTTCCTTTCTACTGTACTCTTTTCCCTATTTTTTGAATAGTCCTGCAGGTTTGATAAGTCTAGCTAAGTTAGACTACCAAATATTACCATTTTGGGGGATACATAACCGTGTTCTAGGGCGACTTTAAATTCGGTCTATACAAGGGTTTTTAGTTTTGGCTGAATTTTTTATGTCCAGTGACAAAGAGAGGCCAAAAATCTATTTTTTGTGATAAACATACAGTTGTTGTTAACGCAAAAGAAAATTTCTTTAAAAACATAATTATAAGTGCTACTACTTCTGAATAAATAAAGTGTTATAATAAATGTATGAGTAAATGATAAGATATATGCAGTTGCGAAATAAAAAAAAATCATGCTATTCGTATTATTTATTAATGTTACGTTTAAATATTAACTTTGTTGTTACCATGACTACATGTTGTTGCCATGATTTGTTTATTACTTTCTTAACAGGTCAAATCTATCACGTCAACCTATTTTATTCAAGCTTCGTTATGTATACATCAATTCTGTTTAAATAATGGACTTGAGGGAAAAATGCGTGACATGTTACGTCGAGACAGCAGTTAAGAATTAATTTTGAGTCGATAAAGGTCTTTGCCCTACAAGCAATCGATAGAATGGCAAACTAAAAACAGAAAAAAGAGATTCCATTTTAAGTCTTTGGCCTACATTTTGCTTCTCGACGCTAAGAGAGAGATGATTTCTACTAACTCACAATTAGTGCGACTAAATTCAGCTGTGGCAGAGCATACTTTGTTTAGCATAGCTACATATAAACAGCAACATAAAGCAAATTTTTTTTTTATCTCTTGGAGTTAATGTACTGGCTTAAATGTAGCCACTAAAGGGATTAAAATTACGTAAATTCTTCTGTTTCTGACGAAAAACTCAAGTTTTATGTCTACTATCAAAATATGATAAGTAGTAATAATAATAAATTCTTCTATGAAGTTAACTCAGCTCCATCGCTCCAACTGCGACACCACTTCCAGGGAGGCGGATTAAAATGTCATCTCTCAGACATACCACGAAAAGTGAGGAGCTTGTAGAAACCAGTGAAAGATTGGTCATCTGAAATGCAAGAACCGAGCTCGTGTATTTTATAACTCCGTAGCGAGGCTGACAGAATACAGATCTGTTTTAGTACTACTGATGCAAGTCTTTTGGAAACATCTCTTCTGAGCCATTTTCGGCTTGACATATACGAAAATACCACAAATATTTCACAGCTCTAAGGTGAAGACCATTTTCTAGTTTGGTTCAGATATGGAACATTACGCAGAAAGGAATTAAAAGACGAAGGCTGGATCACGTCTAGAAGAAACTCATATTGTACGCACTTCCTACTTCTTCCAACGGAAAAATGACAGTTTTAGATCTTGTTAAAATTTTTCTGGGTTTCACGAGTTTAAAATTGAAATAGGAAAGAAAAGAACAATATATATAATAGGATTTTATCAGATTTCATTCCTTTTGATGCAATGATTCAAGAAAACTAGAGGAACGAGAAAAGGAAAAAGAATGTGATGTAGCAAAGAAAGCTAGGATATAACAATGAAACAGGAAGACAAGCTGTTTGATTTCACATATGAATAAAGAGTTCACGCAGTATATACCATATTGCTTG